AACTATGGGCACAACGCTATGGCGAAGTTATGCATCACATTATTTCAGAGTGAGCCTTGTAAAAGGAAAAGTAAGGGGAATTAATAATCAAAGAAGACTTAAAAATAGACCTTTTTTTTACTTGTTTTCTATTTTACTAACCGATTTTCCTTAACTCATTGCAGTCAGCTCCTCTCAGTGCAGAGTCCACTGTTAGCATGGATGCACTATATGAACCATCAATGTAAAAAAATAAAACTTTTCAGTTTCCTCCTTCTGGTTCAATAGTTGGATCAGAAGCAGTGCTGCAAGTGATTTCTAGTCCTCTATCAGTGAAGATGTAAGTACAGATACACATTATGTATGTGTGCATTTATTTCTCATTAAGCGATTCATGGAAATTTGTATGCAAATTGAGAGCAGCCCTTGGACACCTGGAAAGTTGTCAGTACAGTCACTGGTGTCTCGTAGTTTCCACAATGAGGAAAGAGGACCAAATCCTGATCCTGTTGAATTCAGTGGGATTTGCCATTGACTTCAGTGGGACCAAGATTTAGTCCGGTACCCAAAGGACACAAAGAGGAGAATCAAAGGCTCTCAGGTTTGAAAGATGAGGATGCTGTTGTGATGATAATGGAACAATTGTGAATTTGAATGAGCTGGAAGTCAGAAAGACATATTGGTGCAGTCTAGATCTAAAATCCCCCCCCCCCCCCCAGTCTTCTTTTCTGAGGACTAAACAGACTCGGTTTTCTTAATCTTTCCTCATAGGTCAGGTTTTCTAAATCTTTTTTGTTGCTGTCCACTGAATTCTCTCCAATTCTTTCTTAAAGTGTGGCACCCAGGACTCTAGCTGATGTCTCACCAGTGCTGAGAAGAGTGGGGCAGTTACCTCCCATGTTTTACATATGAAACGCCTGTTAAAAAACACCCCAGAATATGAAGCTTCTTTGCAACTGCATTACATTGTTATCTCATATTTAATTTGTTATCCACTATAACCCAAGTGCATTTTCTGCAGTGCTGCTGCCTAGTCAGTTATTCCCCATTTTATATTAGGGCATTTGATTTTTTCCTTCCTAAGTGTAGTACTTCGCACCTGCTGCTATTGAATTTCATCTTGTTGATTTCTGACCAATTGTCCAATTTGCCAAGGTAATTTCGTACTCTAATCCTGCCCTACACAATAATTCTGACCCTTTCCAGTTTGGTGTTATTTGCAAATTTTATAAGCATAGTCTCCACTTCATTATCCAAATCATTAAAGAAAATACTCAATAGCACTGGATCCAGGACAGCCCACTGCAGCACCCCACTAGATATATGTTTCCAATCTGACAGTGAACCATTGATAACTATTCTTTGCACATGGTCTTTCAACCAGTGATGCACCCACCTTATAATAATTTCATCTAGACCACATTTCCCTAGTTTGTTTACGAGAATGTCATGTAGGACTGTGTCAAAGGCCTTATTAAAATTAAATTAAATATATGGAGATATACCTATCTCATAGAGCTAGAAAGGACCCTGAAAGGTCATTGAGTCCAGCCCCCTGCCTTCACTAGCAGGACAGTACTGATTTTGTCCCAGATCCCTAAGTGGCCCCCTCAAGGGGATTAAACTCACAACCCCGGGTTTAGTAGGCCAATGCTCAAACCACTGAGCTATCCCTCCCCTCTGATACAGCAAGTCTACAGCTTGCCCCCATCCACTAGGCCAGTAACCTTGTCAAAGAAGAAATTAGATAGGTTTGTTCTTGACAAATCCATGTTGGCTATTACTTATTATCCTATTATCCTCTGGGTGCTTATAATTTGATTATTTAATAATTCGTTCCAGTATCTTTCCTGGTATTGAAGTTAGGCTGACTGGTCTATAATTCTCCGGATCCTCTTTGCTCTCCTTTTTAAAGATAGGTACTATGTTTACAATCTGAAAACACTCTCGAGAGAACACCCAGTTTCCTGCTGCTTGGCCAGTCTCTTTTGCATGTCCCTTGTAGTCAAGGCAAAGTCATTCCAAGTTAACAAATTATTTGATTGTCCTACAGCTGCTTCCAAATAGGGTTTGTGATGTGTGATATAGTCTCTGTCAGCAAATTGCTAATTTAATACACATTGAGGGTTAGAGTTATAGAGTTCATAAAAATCAATCAATTCTTAAGTTGTTCATAGACAGATTCCCCATATGGTCTGAGGTGCATAGAAAGAACTTTGTTCTAGCAACACCTCTAACAACAAACGAGAAATAAAATGAGTTCACCCAGCAGAAAAGAGGCAGTGGAAGGTATCTGGAGCAGTGGAATCGTGGCAATTCCATTGCATTCAGGGAAGACGGTTGCAGATGAAGTACATCCAAAGCATATTTACTCATGCTTTGCTCAAGGGTATTGAACTTCACCCTTACTAGGGAGATTCCCAGCTTTTCATTTTCGTTTATTGAATTTAAGTTCTTACCTGTCGTCTTTAAGTCATGTTTACTGAGCATGTCACTGGAAGGGAGGATGGAACCGCCATCTAATGTGATAAAAGTCTGAGTTACGATTCGATTTTTCACTGAGAAAAATTGTGGTTGAAAAGCCTTCTTATAGATGGAAGGGAAACATACTCACCAGTGCCTCCATTTGTTGACAGAGTAATTCCTGTTCTCCAGTCTTGTTGCAGTTATCAGAATAGCTAGTTATTATAGCATCATCTACTGGAAGCAAAAAACACAATATTGGTGAAAGGCCTAGCATATACATATAGACTGACTCCACTTCCCACCCAGTTAGGTAGTTTGGAAGCAGAAACCCATGAGGACAAAGTTAAGGAGAAGAGGATCACTTGAACTCTTTACATCTAGACTGGATGTGTTTCAAAGAGATACACTATAGCTCAAACAGCAGTCATGGGCTTGATGCAGGAGTCACTGTGTGAGGTTCAATGGTCTGTGCCATTCAGGAGGTCAGACTAGATGATCATAATGGTTCCCTTTTCATCTTAAAATCTATGAAACTATGAGAGGGATACATGATGGGAAAAGAGAAAGGTCTCTGACAAACTTCTTTACCAGTGAAATGATCATCATCTACTCCCCTCCAGGTAGAATTATCAGAACAGCTAATGCAAATAATATCCTAAGTCAGAAGGTGATCTGACTTGAGCGATAGATTGGAGTACCTTATGCCTAAAATCTGGCTCTGGATTTGAAGGGTTCAAAATCTGGCTCTAGATTTGAAGTCTACTCAGAAGTATTTAATGAAGGTTTAATGAATGAGGGGAGGCCAATTTGCGTCTCTGACGATCTTGAGGGTGATAGTCTCAGCTATCTTGATCCTTGAAATAGAAAGGCATCTTGCTGAGTATGCTTTTGCTGGCAGTGTCAATAAATCATGTTATGAAAGGTTTTTAGTGAGCCACTAATGGAGACCATACACCCTGGCAATTCTTCCTTCAGACTGTGTAAGTATTTAAGTGAAAATGCATGTGATCATTTCAGCCTTAAAATCCAATGTTAAATGCACACACAAACATAGATCTCCCAAATGACTGCTCATGGCAGGAACTCCACTTACTCTTCTAATCCCTGGGGTGAGGAAACTGCCATTCTAGTCTCCATCCCCCTTGTCTACCATTGTTCTGACTCTCTACTTATCCAACCGGCCCTTCGCCTCAGTCTCCTCCACTCCCCTCTCCCTTTCTTCTCACTCAGTTCCTATCCCAGCCCATGTCACTCCCTGCTACCCACAGTCTCCTGCCATATTCTCCCTCCTTTTCCCCCCTCAGTTTTCTGTATCCTACATTCCTCTGTCCCTCTAGTCATTCTCCCTACCCTACACATATCCTGTCCCTACACATTCCCCTGTTCCCACACTGTCTCATGCCTAGGTCACACATAATAAATAGGGGATGGCTATCTTGAAAACAATGGGAGTCAGTGACTATCTTTACTAGAAACAGCCTCACTCCCACCTGCAAAGGCTATAGGGAGATGGCAGCTGTCTGTGGCGAGAGCAGCCTGTGCCTTCAGTTCTGTGGAAACAATAGGGAAGGGCAGCCATTTTTGGTGAGCACAAGGAGATCATCCTCATCTTTCTTCTGACACTTGAGCAGTTATTAAAAAAAACAAATACAATCACAGGGTTCACAAAAAATCCTGGGAAAGTTGGCAGCTCTGTAAGAGCTTGCCCTTGGCTTTCCTCTTTGTTGGCTTCTCCCTGTATTCAATCCTCTTCTTGGAATCATCCCAGTATCTTTTGTCCACTTCCACTGAAAAGGAAGCAAGCAAAAAGAAACAGTTGGAGTCAGAAGGCGGAGAGCTATGCTCCATGCTTCCAGGAGAGGAGGCAAAGAATTCTGACTGGAGTCAACCTATATTATAATCCTGTGGCATTCACGAATTCTTGTCTTCTGGAAGCTGCTCTGATACTTTCAGCAAGATGGGGAAAATGGAAGGCCATCAGCACAGTCAGTGTTTGCACTATCTATAGGTACAAACTATTTTTAACCCCTTATTTTGTGTATAAAGCTGCTCCAGTTTCCTGCCCCTGGAGAACTTAAGCATGTTTTGCAGCCAAGATCTATGCAGAATAACCTGCTGTAAATTCTACCATTCATTTGCTTGGGTAGGTCAGTTTCAAAAATAATTCAGGGCTCCCCAACATACCTTCTTTCTTTCTCTTTGCTAAAAGCCACAAACTCCTCAGGTCTAAAAAGCATCAGCAATACCTAAACTGGTTGCTGCTGTGCAGAAAATTTCTGTTGAACGGCTTTGGAACCTTCGGCCTAAGAAGAAAAGGGGAAATATTTGCAATATAAATTTAATTTGTGTATTTAGCGGCAAAGGATCTGGTGCCCTTCCATTCATCCCTCTTGTGATAGCTTCCTTTCCGCACTTTCAGATCGCTGACTCCAGTCACTTTTACATAAGGGAGTATATAACTGAACTATTGTGATGGGATGTGAACGTTCTACGTTCATTTATACGTATCCATGTATGTTTAACACATTTAACATTATTTGTTCCCCCTTTTCTAGCTCCTGAAAATCTGATGCAGGCTTTAGAAGATCTTGGTTATCTAGCACCAAGGAGAATGATGGAAACTTTTTTGAATTTGGAATAATTACAGTAGGTCAGAGTTTCCTCAGGATCCACAGCTGTCCAAGTCCATTTTAGCTTCATGTGAATTTGACAGTAATGCTCACCATTGCTGCCACGGTAACAGGAATTCCTAAAGAATGTTGTAGTGCATGGCACTTGAGCCCCCACCCAAGCCTATACAGGCTCATTTTAAAGTCTAGCTTTGTCACACAGGCCCCAGAATCCACTATTTAGCTCTCGAGAGGCTCTTCAAATTCTTGTCTACTCAAAGTGAAGATCTCTACAGCCGTGTCTGTTTTTATTCTGAGTATGCAGTGAAACTCAAGTTTTGCATGAATTTCAGTGAAGTAATGAGAATCACTGAATTCTATGCTCCAAACACAGCATTGATTTCCAACTTTTTATCAGAAAGAGAAAAAGTTCATTTTGAGGAGAGAGATTTTGTGATCTCATTATATTCACCTGTATTTAGCAGAGACCATATTAGGGAGAAGTTCTTGTGAAAAATATTATTGGACTATTGACCGACTAGAAATTCTTTTGTCAACATATTTCACCCCTTGGAGGACAAAATACTTTAATTTATAAATTCCATCACATCACTTTATAGAACAATTAGGCTGGTGTTCATTCCATGCCATTCTAATGGATCAACAGTGGGCCCTACTTTTGAACACCTAAGATCTGGAAACAGAGCATTTGCATTTGAGGGCTGCTAACTCTAGAATTTGAGTTGAGAAGATGATGAGTTAGTTTTGTGGACGTTTATGAGGAGCTCCTTCCAAGCATGAGGGACAGCATGGGAGAAAGTATGAAAGTGCTTGTTTGAAAATTTAACAAATCAGTAATCATTGGCCAATTGGAAACTGGAGTTGACATTTCAATAGTGAATGTGAGATGATAGGTAGGGCAGGGATAGACTGTGAAGGGCCTGGAAAGTGAAACCCAGCAGTTAATGTTTAATGTGATAGAGAAAAGGGAACCGTGGAGGGATGAAAAGAGAGGCGTGCCTCCCTCACAAACACACACAGCCCAGTCTAGGTGGCAGTTAGATTTTCAAAAATTTGATGCATATTTTATGCTGGGGTTTATTGTGTTATAAGTAAGGACTAAAGGGATGATCTGGTCACTGAATTTGGGAGAGGGATTTAATGGGTACTTATCAATTTCCCCCCCCCCTTTATTATTTTTTGTGGTCTCTGTTTTACTCAAGGCTCCAGTATTTAGTTTATGTAAGTTTGTGCCCTCTAATTGTAAAGAGACACAAACCTGAAATGGTTAGGCAGCCTCAGGAGGCTAAATTCAGGATAACTTTATAGATATCTTTTGAACAATAAATCTGGCTATTTGGATTTTCTGTTCTGAGTAACTTTCATTTTGGAAGATGTAACTGAAAAATTCTATAAAATAAAAAAATATATAAAACATGAAGTGAGGACTCAGGATTGGCCCACTATGTACGTTAGATGCAAGCTAAATGAGGCTAAGTTTTCCATGTGGCTCTTGGCCTCAAAATTTGGGCTGCTCTGTCAGAGACTACTGCTCATTCCCACTCTCCTTTTAAGCTCTTGCACAGATAGAACAGCATTTTATCCAGGAGCCATGTCTCTGTGGATGGGAGCAAGTGCCAAAGGGGTCATCTACTTATTCTGCCACATCACATTAATATACTTCCTACTCCCAATCTGAATTGTACTTCATGGCAAAGCAACATGCCAGGGATGGCCAAACCTACTGGCCCTCCGAGCCACATACGACAATCTTCAGAAGTTCAAGAGCTGGGGCACACCTGCTGGGAGCTGTGGGTTGGGGCTTCAGCCCCGCGAGAGGCATCTGACAGGGCTAGGGACTTCAACCCCGCTCCTGCTGAAGCCCTGAGTGCTGGCAGGTGCACCCTGCAGGGCTGAAGCCCCAAGACTTTAATGGTAAAAGAGCTGCATGTGGCTCATGATCTACAGTTTGGCCACCCCTGCAACATGCTGTCACTTCTTCCTCAGACTACGATGTTGAGAAATGGTGTCATGATTATTTCCTAAGCTGTTCTGCACTGAGCAGGGCAGAAGTTATCAGAGCTGAACTGGCAGAGATTGTGAAATGTATTGAACTTCCCATTTCAGAACCTGACTTTGAATCAAAAGAAAATACGCTAAGCATAAAGAAACTTCTCTTATCTGGTTACTTCATACAAGTAAGGAAAAAATAGGGTTTAGTATAATTCTATAGATATGAATAGAAGACAGCACAGTATTTAAGTTAAACCAATTGCTATTAAAGAACTTGAAATTAAGCTAGATAATGGTATTCCCTTGATTCCTGCAAAGGATTACTGGTACACTTTCATTCCATTTATTCAAGTACTTATGATTTATCCAACAAATTTCTCTTATAGTATCAGCCAAGTTCTCTTTTGTTTCAAAGCGGTCATTAATTAGTGTATTTTTAAAATTCTTCTACCCAGTGTACTGGAAACATTTGTAAGCCATTAATTCCTGAGAAGATGTGACCAATACTCCACATACTCTAGCCTTCTCGTCTGGTATTTATCTGCCACAGCCTGATGGCTCACTAGGAAAGGGAACCACTGTCCATACATCCATGTTAGAGGCTGAGAGGTGGGGTAGGTTCCAGAAACACTTTACCCTTCAGCACCTCTTGTTACAGGGTTGTTTTCTCTTTGGGGTTGTCTGCATGAAATTACCCAAAGAATATTCTTAATTCCAACCAAATTTACAACAGAAAGACAACACAAAAGCAGCAGTTTTTGAACATTTTTAGATTTACATTCCTCCTAATGTAAACTAGGAGGAATCATTCTCAGTTTAGCTATAGAAAAGACAAGATGGTGAGTGGCTTATATCTGGAGCCCTACCAAATTCACGGTCCATGTCAGTCAAATATTGTAAATTTCATGATTTCAACTATTTAAATCTGAAATTTCACAGTGTTGTAATTGTAGGGGTCCTGACCCAAAAAAGAGTTGTGGGAGCAGTCACAAGGTTATTGTAGGAAGAAGGTACTGCTGTCCTTACTTCTGCTCTGCTGCTGATGTAGGGATATAAAAGAAGGTACTAACAGTGATTCCCCCAAGTGACAGTGACCCCCTCATAATTTGTCCCCCACACTTTAAAATCCAACAGTTTCACCAAGTACAAAAATCTCTTGGGTCTTCTGTTAAAACTTTTAAGCTACTGTCTATAGAAACCATTGATTATATCTATCCTGTGAAAGATACTTTACTACTATGTAAAATTTACAAACAAGTTAACTGACTTTGTTCTTGAAGTAATTGATACAAGGTAAACAAACACTATAAGCCATTAAGGGACTTTCACTTCATTCAACGGCTCCTAGGACAGACCCCCACCCTCTGTGATTAAAGGGCTGGGAGTCTCAAATGAATTAGCACACACCCTGAAAGTGGTGGAGACAGTAAATTAAAATATGGTTAAGGTATGGAATGTATGCTGATGAATGCTTGATATACATGGATGGTTAGGGAGGTGCCAGCCTAGAAAGGGAGTATCCATCGGCCAAAGAATGTGTCAAGTGGATGACCAGAAAACCCCCGGAGGGTAAACTGGGATCCACCCCATCACCTGGAAGGATGAGAAACACAAACTTTGGACAGTGTGGAGCCACCAGGAATGTGCCACTTTGGACAGGAATGTGCCATCTGC